AATGACTTGTTTTATGAGCAGATTTTCTGTTTTTGAAATTGGTTGTATGACCTACATAACAGTCTTTGATGTTTAAGTCCTTGCAAACAATTTTATAAAAGTGAGTATTTGAATAGTCTATTTCTTTTCTCGGCATTATACAGTCCTAACAAGTATTAAGAAGTATTCTTTAAAACTATTTTTTTATTTTACTTTAAACGATTTTTCAAAGCGAATGAAGAACATTTTGTTTATGTCCTTAGCATTCATATTGACGAAAAAGAAACTGTAGGCTTCATCATTAACAGCGGTATGATACATGTTTAACAGTTGTTGCTTATCAACAATGGCACTGTTTTCCTCAATGAAAGACATAAGTTCAGTAGCATTCTTCAATCTAAATATATATAACGAACTCGCATTCAAACGAATAATTGGTGCTAAAACATTGTATTTCTGTGTTGAGAGAATAAAAGAAATCGCATCATGTCTTCCTCTTGTTGCTAATCCATGGAGTAGTTTTGAATATCTCACAAACTTAGCATCATCAGCATGGTCATCTATCACGATTAAAATTGAATGTAGTTTCTTCATCTTCTGTTCTTTCATATAATGAATTATCTTTCTTTGTGTGTTAATTATTTCTTCCAGTTCTTCAGGTTGGTAGGTGTCATAATATAACTTTTCTTTTTCGTCATCAACCTTCATATTATCTTTTTGATATTTCTTGACTTCAACGAAGGTAGGGTCATTATGAACCGACGGGCTAAAAATGAATATACGGGCGAAGCAGTCCCTATAAACATTTAGGATAAGGTTTTGAATTAAAACTGTTTTGCCACCCGTTGATGAAGCAACAACAATTGAGCGAAAAGGTAGTTTTGGTACATGTTCATATTTAGATTGTTTGAAATCGTAATCAGTTATATTTATTGGTTTTATTATTGGAACATCAGACATAATAAAATAATATTAAAGTTATTTAGAAAATATTTTATATTTATTATTTTATATGAATAGAAGTTATTCGGATTATATTGATATAATAGATAAAGTAGAAAATATAGAACAAGTAATAATAACCGATAATAAAATTAAGAAATGTTGTTATTATTCATTAGAATTAATTAAGTTAGGAATACAATATATTAAAAATATAAATGTTAATATAGATGGGAAGGAAAAAAAGCAAAAATAATAAAACAGGTTTAAGTGTTTCTTCAACCAATGAAGAAAAAGAAGAAATTGTTAAAGAAACATCAGTTATTGAGTTTGCTTGTCCAATGTGTAAAAAGATGTTAGAAATGAAAAATGAATTAGAAATACAAAAGAAAGGACATTGTAAATGTTCGTGTATTCCAACAAGTTTCAAAATAAGTAAGAATGATAAGAAAATGAATATTGATAAAACTAAAGACAGTATAAACTTAGAAACAGATGTTCATAATATAACTTTTAAATGGGGTCGGCAAGCATCACCATCCGATAGTGGCGATAAGGAAACTCAGGAAACTGTTAAACAAATGATGAAAAAATAGTATTTAAAGAGTAGATTTAACATAATTGCAACATTTAGTTTTAAAAGTTTAGTTTTATAATTTAGTATATATGGAGGAACATTTAGCGAACATTGACAGTAGTTTAGAGTTGTTGTTTCCAAGATTAGAAAAAGTGTTGGAGCAAAATGAAAACATACTGAAAATCTTAAAGAGCTTGAATATTAAACCTACATATGATAACAATAACAATTATCAAGCAAAAGAAGTAGATAGAGACAGTAGCGAATACAAAAATAAACGAAACATTTATGTTAAAAAACTGAATGAAAAAATCATAAAAGAACCTAAACAATCAAGTCTGGATTACTATCAAGTCAAGTATAAAGAAGACACCAAGAAATACGTTTAATCATTAACTAACAAAATTTCGTGTCTCAAAAGCGGTTTGTTTATTTCTGCTACTTTGTAAGTTTTATTACCCATAATATCATATTCAATTTTATCGATATTGAATATTTTATTAGACCATTTAGAGTTATACTCCTTTCTGTCGGTGTAATTACCCCTTTTCTTTTGAAACACTTTTACCTTGTCGTTCTCCACTATTCTGGGATACTTTCTTTTGTTTTTTTCTCGTAGTTTAAGATTGACCTTTACATTTATTTCATTCTCGTCCTTGTGTGCTTCAGACGGTGTCATCCTTGTTGATGAGTGAGATGTGCTGTTATACTGTTTCAATGCCGGCGTTAGGGCGTCGGTCCATTTCATGTTGTTAAACCTAACTCTATCGTGAATTTTGTTTTTCATCGTTCTAATAAAACGCTCGGCCACATTTGCGTGGGTCTTCGTGACGATGTGGTTTATTCCTTCACTGTTGAAGAAATCCTGAACGTGATTTTTAGTTGCAAACGCTCCGTCGTCATCAGAATACACGGACATCGGATAACCCATCTTTTTAAAGCTTGCTCTCAACGCCTTCAAAACGTTCTCTCCGTCTCTTTCCTCCATCGGTATTACATCTGCTAATTTACTGAAGATGTCAATCACGACTAAAGCATACTGTGGAACGTTCTTGTCTTTTGCTAAAGGAGACATATGCATTATGTCTATTTGATATTCATATCGTGCGAATGGAGCAGTATAGGAATTAGTACCTCTATAATTTTTGATTTGTTTATTTGGCTGTTTCTTTAAGAAAGACTTTACATCGTCTAATGTTATTGTTGGGTCTTCTTCCTTTGCCTTCTTGTGTGTCGCTTGTGTGCTTCCGAAACCCTCGTCTAAGTCGTAATAGATGTTGCTGATTATTTGGTCTTTTGTTAATCTCGCCATTATATTAAATTGTTAGAAAATATTTTTTCAATATAAAGCCCCACCCCTTAACATAAAATACAAACTACTTAAAGAAAAATGGATATAATATAGTAAGAAAAAAAAATGACACTGTTTAATTATGATAAATGTCCTTGTAAAAATAAAAAATTTAAGTCTGTCGTGGCACTAGCTAATATTTTACCTGTTGATGTTTGTAATCTTATAGGTGGTTGTATTAAACCAACATGTTTTGATTGTCGGTATTTGATAGAAGAAGAAGAGCATTTTATGAGTGATAAAAACATTCCTGAAGAAGGACTAGAAAAAGCAGAGCTTCAGTTAAACATTATTCAACAAATACAAAATAATGATATTACACAACTAACAGGATACCATTTTAGTTTAAAACATTACAGAAAAAACATTGACAGAGTATTTGATATACAAGAAGTTAAAGAACGGTTTAAAAATAGAAAAATGTATTATCAAGCATTAAAATCATACTGTAAGAATAATGAATATGAAGTTTGTGTAGTTTTAAAACATTGTCTTAAAGTTGAAGAATTAAAATATTGGAAACAAAATGGATTTTGCTTTCCAAACCTAAACAGTTGGTGGTCATATAGAAATAACAATTATTATTTGAGACATATTCTTAGCGATTTAATTGAAATTTACACAGACCAATTAATAAAAGGATACGAGCATTATTTTTGTGAGTATAGTATGAGTTGTTATAGTGGTTGTATCGCTGGTGAGATTGAATACGGGTCAAATTAACTTTTGTTTATTAATATTATTATCTTATAATATGATTAAACATTGTTTTATAATCTAACAAGAAGGTTAAGACATTTAAATTAAACCTGAAACCCAGACCAGCCGACCAGCAACCCCCTAGCCAATGAGAGATGTTAATATTATTTTTAAAATGATGTATGAAAGAAGTAAGACAAACCAATTAGATTATTATCCTGAACTGAAATTATAATCATAATATAATAATAACTTGTAAAATCTTATATGTTATAATTATACTGAACTTTTAACCTATAACACCCCTTAAACTTATCTAAAGAAATAACCCCTTAAACATATAGAGACCAATGACAGACAAAAAGCAATGTTCCAAATGTAAAGTCTTTCAATTGTTAGAAAAGTTCAACGAGGGAAGAAAACAATGCAATGTATGCTTGGAAAATAAACTACGGTATAGAGAAGCACACAAAGAACAAATACAGCAGAAGGCAAAGGTTTATTATGAACAAAACAAAGAACACAGACAAGCATATAGGAAAGAATACATCCAAAGGAAAATTGAATGTCAATACTGTAGATGTATGGTAAGCCCTCAACACAAAGCAAAGCACGAAAGAACAAACAAGCATATCAATAATGTTAAGAATCCAAAACCACCAAAGAGAGAAGAAACACCAAAAGAAAACAAACAAACAACACAGAAACAAATTAGAGAATACATAGAAACCTCATCAGATTTTGAATATGACTTCAACAAAGAATAGGATAAAACAAAAGCACCACCAACATCCCAGAACATTATAACTACTAAAAGGGCTACCTCTTTCAAATGAAAAAAATGTTTGCCCCCAGCCCAACAATGAACAAGGCGACAATTTACCCAAATGATTACCTTAACGAAAACGATAAATAAGCTCCCCAAAAACCCTCTTTTAAAAACGGATAAGGTGGTTAATAGGTTTGAGATGAACATAAAAACCATAACAGGCAACCATCAACAGGCTTCCCCTCAGGGCCCCTACTTTCTCCATTTTTCCTCCCTCCCTCCCTTTCCCTCCCTCCCTCCCTCCCTCCCTCCCTCCCTCCCTCCCTCCCTCCCTCCCTCCCTCCCTCCCTCTCTCTCTCTCTCTCTCTCTCTCTCCCTCCTCCTCTGCTCAAATCGCTTTTTGCCACACGCAGGATTGCACTATTGAAAGGAAACATCAAAGCCGCTTTACCTACATTGTTCTCACCATATGCCTGCCATTCACTGGACACACAGATCCAGCGCGCACGCCGCGCACGCTCGCCCGCGCTTGCCATGCACTTGCTGTCGCGGTCGCTCCCTGCGCTGCATACCTCAGCCGCCTTGCTCGTCGATGCGATGCCGGCCATCCATCGCTTCTGCTCTCGTGCGGATCAACAAAATCGCCGGACTCGTGCGGAGAATCCGCGGAGACTCCACGAAGATCAGGGCGAAGCCCGCAGCACGGCGCAGCTTTCGAGCGCTTGCGAGGACATCTCCCGCAGCATGGCCAGCCCAAAGCGCCCCGAGCGCTCGCAGGCGCTGAAGCAAGCGTCATAGCAAATGACGTTGGGCTGCACGGCTTGCACCGCCATGGCCTGGACAAATGGTGGCCCAGGGCACCCGTTTGTAAACTGACAAGTACCCCATATCTCGCCCTCTTTGAGAAGTGGCCCGGGAGAACACATGAGAACACGTGGAATACGATCGAAATCAAACCAACCACTACAAACTCCAGATCCATGGAAGCAAAAACCACCTGGCAGCATGCACAAGAGCACTCATCCACCTCAGCCTCGAGGGACCTGCTCAAACGAGGTGAGGTCCCAAGCTCCCAATGGGAAACAACCACCTTGAGGTCCCAGAAGGCAAAATCGAGGGACCTGTGGCTATTCTCGTCGTTCCAAATGGTTGTCCTAGCCCATGCACCCAGCGTCTAGTGACCCTGGGCTTTCTGAATTTTGGGCCACCTGGGGGGGGAGAACGATCCCTAGATGGGAGACCACTCAAATTCATGGAATTTGTTTGCCCAACTTGCCAGGAAAGAGCAGAGAGCCAGGCCCTTGATCCAACAAGAAAAGTGGACGATTCAGGGCCCGTTTTTTGCAGAAAGATCGCTTCAGCCCCAACCCTTCGATCTGCGAAGTTGCCCGTTTCGCGCAACCATGGGTTCATTCCCCAAAAAGGTGGTTCCTCTGAGAGTTGTTTGGGTAAGGAACCCACAACAGATGCAAGCCCAAAATATCCATATATAAATAGATAGAGATGCATCATAAAATAGTATGGATGTAGAGACTCTGGCAACCATACTTAGACCTTGACAGATCAAGAGAAAAGCAACCCAAGCAATGTTGACCCGGATTAATAAACCCGCCCTATTTTTCTAGGGCAGCGTTTCCTCCGACAGTGGTCTGAATCCCACCTAACAGCTGGAAGCGCAGCCAATCACAATCAACCAGGGGTTAGCTATCTTTTTGGGAGGGGACAGCCCATCAGAGGGCACCTCCCAGCGCTTGGGCCGAAGCTCCAGGCGTGTCCTCGCGCGCCTCGAGGCCGTGGATGGCGTGCCGCCACTGCGCCGCCCGCGCGCACGCGGCGAGCGCGGCGCCGAAGCTCAGGACGTCCGGCTGCACCTGGAGCTGCGGCAGCGCGGCCAGCAGCGCCAGCGCCTTCCGGCGCCAAGAGGCGCCCGGAGGGCTCCCAATGGCCCAACCAACCTCCCGACCTCCCAATGAAGTCAGAAAGTTTCAAGGGGAAATGGGGCTATCCCAAAAAACTATGGTACCCCGCAAATGTCGTGAGGAGGGGTCCAATACTGTGGAAGGATAAAAATCCATTTCGCGCCACGACATGAAACCATGGTTGAAACCCATTGTTTGCTGGTATGTACAGGGTAATCGAGTCATTCCAGGGTTTCTTTGGTGGTGCAGGAGTTCGTCCATCCACAGTATGGCACTCAGAGGGTTCCAAGGGGAAATTGATCTTCCACATATCCCAAAAAGCTGATGGTACCCCACAAATGCCATGAGGAGGGGTCCCTCCCACTTTGGCTCCCAGAGGAGTTTGGGGAAATTGATCTTCCAAATATCCCAAAACATCTCTGGTACCCCACGGGGTAGGACATGGCACAATAAAAAGAGGGCCCGTTGGGGAGATTCATCTTCCAGGTACCCACACATGCCTTCCGTTGGTGGGAAGCCCAGCTCTCCCCGCGAATGCGAACTCATGGTTGCGCATTCAACCAACCAATTCACCAACGAACAGTGTGTTTCCTTTTGGCCCCCGCTTTCACTACCGCAAGGGATTCCACAATTTGGCTGGGGCCCAGGACCCTGCTCATCACAAGAACCTCCAAGATTGCATTTTAACCAGAAGGGGAACAAGGCTCGGCGCAATCCCACTAATTATTGGGGGGGATTCCTAGCGGAAAAGTTCTGGCCGGGATGGCTTTTTGGGCTAGAAGCGCCATACGCCCTGGTACCGCTCCTCGGGATTAATCCGCAGCTTATGTTTGACAAGTGTACCCTCCCTACAAACGTGGCACCTGACGGGCAAATGATGCCTTCAAGGGGGAAATCCATCCCAAATGTAATGCTGACCCCAGATTAATCCACCTTGTGGATTTTCAAGGGGGCCTATTAAACGGAACGCACCAATCAAAATCATCCACGGGGTTTACTTGTGCAAGATGTACACCTGGTGTGTCTCAGCACCCTGTCTGGCTGCTTCTTGGTGACATTCCGCCGTTTTATCGCCACAAAAAATGAAGTTGATTACCCAAACGAGGTCTCACTTTTGCTCTGCCATGATGCCAGCCCTCGACACGCTGAACGACACGTTCCGACACATGCGACCCGAAGGGCATTCGACCACTCGCGCGAATGCCACACGCTACTTCTTTCAAAATCCGACGGGGACAGCGTCCAGCCCAAAAGCTTTCAGCTTGAAAAGGGTAAACGCAATGCAAGAACATCCGGACAAAAAGTGTTGGCAATCGCACAAGAAGGAAAAGTAAGGAGCCTTCTTGGCTTGGCCGGCCATCATCAGCACGCTGAGCAGGGAATTGCAGCAGATCAGGTTGGCAGATGCCTCCTCCAATGTTTGGGCCATAGGTGGTTCAGCACGTTAACCGATTCTTTTCTCTGGCTTCCACCTTTCGGCGTCCCCCCTAAGGTTGGGTGCGGGGTATGGCTGCCCCGTTCTTCATGCTCAAGAGCCAGTCCCAATGCAGGTGATGCCTCGTTCCAAGAACGAGGGTTGCTTCAACCAAGTGCGACGACCTCAGAGAAGTGGGCATGTCTCAAAATAGGAAAGCAAACAAATATGTATATATAAAGCACCCCAAGAGACAGGGCATCCTCAAAAGAGCCGGGACAGTTGATGCATGTTTGCTTGTTCTCTTCTCGCTCTGTCCCACTTTTAGTGTATTACATCTGTATGTGTTTCTTGCCTTCTTGATCTATGTCCTTCCTTTCCTGTCGTTCTTTCTTTTCTTTCTTTATGCTTTTCCTTCCGACCCTGCGTTGTTTTCGTCTCCTATGTCCTTTCTTTCTTTCTTTTCTTTCTTTCTTTCTTTCTTTCTTTATTCTTCTCTCCTTCTTATTTCTGTCTTTTCTGGTAGTCTTTCTTATTTTGTTTATTTCATTATTTCTGTCTTTTGTTCTTTCTGCCTGTCTTGTTTGTTTGTTTCTTTCATTTGTTCTTTCTTGTTTTCTTTGTTTCGTATTTTATTGTCTCTTTCTTTCTTTCTTTTCTTTCTGTATTTATTTAGCCATGTATTCGTGTGTGTCTTCTCTGTCTTTCCTTGCTGTTTTATCTTCCTTATGTATGTATTTCTTTGTTGTTATTTCCTTCTTTCTGTCTTTTCTTGATGTCTTTGTTTCTTCTTTGATCTGCTCACTTGGTTCTTCTCTTTCTTTCCTTCTTCCTTTCCTGCCTTTCTTGACTTCCTTCTTTTCTTTCTTTCCTTGATGCATTCACTCCTTCCTTTCTTTTCTTTCTTTCGTTCTATCTCTCCCTCTGTCTCTTTGTCTTGTTCCTACGCTTTCGCTGTCTACCGCCCTTTCTTTGCCTACATAAGGACTGTCTTTCTATCTGCCGTACTGTCTACATGCACCTGCGCATTTATCAACGCCTCAAGCGGCAGCAAGTCAATCCAGAAGCGCTCTTCTTTGTTCCGCGGCAGCGGCCTGAGCTAGCACGCGGCGCGAGCAAGGCGCTGTCGCACTCGATCTTTCCGTCTATCTGTCTGTCTAACTAGCCATCTAACGGTCTATCTGTGTTTATCTATCGGCCTACCACGAAATATGCATATGCATCTGGCCCGCCTGCCACGCAAACGAATGTTGGCGAACTCTCCGAAAGTGCTCCGAGAGTGCTCCGAGAGTGCTCCGAAAGTGCTCTGAACGCGCACCGACTGCCGTGATCAAGTTTTTCTCAAAGAGCCAGCTCATGCCACAGAAGTTCCTATGCTTCCTTTGACTGATTTTGGCTAAACCATTTGGAAAACCAACCACGACCAATATATATATATATATACCGAAACAAAACAACAGAGTTGGTTTCTTTATTAGCTTCCCGCAACTACCACCCAAAACAATTTCCACCATTTGAGAGAGCTCTCGCGGAGGCACAAGTTGACCCTTTGGCGGACATGAGGATTATTGAGGATTGATGCCCACCAACCAATTGGCAAGGTGGTCTTGTTTAAGGCCTTGTTTAACGCCCTTTTTTGTTGTTCGAAAGGGAACCCAAAAGACAAACCCACAGACCTCTCCTCCAGCTCGGAGAACAGCGCCACCGCCGTGCGCCACTTCCGCGCCTTCTCGCAGGCGCTGATAGCCGAGCTGCAGCTCACCGCGTTCACCCGCAGTGCTTTTTGCCTCGAGGGCGCGCCTTCTGATGTGATTTTTCGCGAGGGGCACGAACATTTGGAGTCGGCTAAGAGGTAAACCAAAGGAAACCACGTCAATTTGGAGTCTTTGGGGGTCTTATCTAGTTTTTGGGCAAACCTGTGTTGGGGTTCCACGGGGGTGCGAATCCACTGATCACTTTTGAGGTGGTTCCCTCGTGAAATTTATGGCCATATTGGGCCTGTCATGCGGGGCGCCGGGCGCCGAAATAGATTTTGGTGTTCTGTTTGGCTTTCCTCACCACCCCATAACGGAGCCCTCAAACAAACGGCTACAACATGTATCCTGCAAACATCACCCCACTCAATAGAAACTCACTTTAGACGGCCTGAGGGCCCCCTTTTCGAGATGGGGAACAAAAAGGGTTGCTCCAGAATCGGTTTGCAGGGTCCCTTTGTAAAGGACCAAAATCACGACTCTCCCCTCTTCTGGTATTACCATAAAATCTGGGAAGAACAAGAAACCTAGCCAACCATCAGCAACGGAGCCACCGGCTTTCTTTTTTCACCTCTGGCGCCGATCTCTGCCACCTGAGAAAAGTGACAATGCTAACAAAGCGGGCACCCTTGTTAGGCTGAAGCGTGAGGGGTCGCCTCATCCGCCCCAGCAATGAGAGGGCCACCTCCACCCGGCCCTCGCAGGCACTGATGGCCTCGGGTTGGAATTCGGGCCTACGCGCTCAGAAATCATTTCGGCTTGCCGGTTTAAAGCCCACATGTATACATACGTATATGAGTACAAATATCAAACCATCCTTAAACATCACTTCTCAGCAGGAAACGCTCTTTTCCTTTTTTGATGGGCAACCACTTGCCATATCGAACTCAGTTCTTACATTACCCGCCTGCTTAGGGTCCCCCAAGCGAAACTTCTTGCCAGCGAAAGAGCTAGTGGATATGTTGTTAGAGCTGTTTCAACTGGTGGTGAAAAACAAGCCGCCGCCCCCTGGTTTTTCATCGCTTTCAATTCGCCAAACTACCCCGAAACAACTGGCCCCAGAGGCAAAATACACAACCGCCCCAAAGAATGTACACCCCACTTTCCTCCAGGGAATAGATTCTATACTAATCTGGCCCACCCCTACGACCTTTAGAAGGTTGCCTTGCTCCCGGGTGGAGAAATCGGTGCTTCGTCCCCTTGATTGGAAGCACTTGGCCAAAGCACTGCCCCATAGGTCACAACGTTGGGGTCCACGGCTCTTCGCTCCATGCGCCCCAGCAGCTCGAGCGCCTTCTCCCACTCCCTGGATCCCATTGCGCGGATGGCCGTACTGTAGCTGACCTGATGATAATCATGTCTAGAAATATGGAAACTAAACCATGTGAACCACACATTAAGAAACCCAGTACTTGATTTGTTGGGGTCGTGCGTTTTTAGTGGCAATCCTTCGCTCTTGCTGCGTGATACTACGGTTGGGTGAAAGCGGATGCCACAATTCCTTGTGGGCAACTAAAGAGGATGACTGAAATGACTCAACCAACATGCACCACCTACTTCCACCCAACTGTAAAAGCATAGGGGGCGCTACACGCATGATTGTGTTTTGGCGCAAGGCGGAGCACATTTGCTGGAACTTGTTTAGTGCACTCTGACAAAGATGCCCTTGTCATCCTCTTGCCGCCACGCTCGCTTCGGGATGTGAAGCTGCCAGCGGCAGCCATTAACTCAAACCACCAAAGGAACACCCCTGAAGATTAAGAAGCCCCTTTTCGGTTCCAGATTGCTTTCCAGGGGAGCAACCGCTAACCTCCAAACCACCGAGCGAGGGCAAACCCCACGGGTTCTCTTCTGCAACTTGGTGCGCGCTGTCTCTCGTCACGGTTTGCTGCGCACATTCTCTCGCGCATCTTGCTTCTTGCTGTGCATGTGCTCTCGTGAATATTGCTCTGCATGTACGCTCAACATGTGCTCTCATGTCTCTTCTTCTGCATGTGCTCTCATGCGTCTCGCTCTGCATGTCGTGTGCTCGGCATGTGCACTCAAGCCTCTTGCTCTGCATGTGCTCTCGCGCATCTTGCTGCGCAACAAGGCTCACGAGATAATCGCCAAGAACCGTTCGCAACGCTTTCGGGAGAAACAGCTCCAAGCGACCACGTCCGGCGCCAAGTCCTCTTCCGAGTTCTCCATGCGCGCCAGCAGCGCCAGGGCGAGCTCCGGCTGGCGGCCTTTCTCCAGCGCGCTCAGCAGGGAGTTGAAGCAAATCCTGGGACAACCAGGCGCAGGAGTAACTACCCAAACATTCTTGGTTTCCTTGTGGTTTTCCTTTGCGACGTTTACCAGTGGGTCCACATTCTTTAGAAACCCAAATGGAAATGTGTCAAAGGGGTGGCCCAAACACGGATTTCGGTTGTCCTCTCAGCTTTTATAGGCACACCCCAATTGCCCGGGGCCAACTTGAAACACAACGAAGTGCAACAACTAGTTCAACTTCTTATTCCAAACGCAAGACATGGATGCCATTCATTGTAAAACTCCAAGGTCTCCTTTTTAACCTTTTGAGAGCAAAACAATCGACATGTTTAGAGAGCGTCAGGTTGGGCGACACGCTCTCGTCCAAGACGTCCAGCGCAAGCTGCCACTGGAAGGCACTTGCACAGGCGGAGATTGCAGAGCTGAAGGTCATCTGATTCGGCTGCACCGCCCATCGCCGCATCTCCTTCAGAGTTCCCAGCGCGCTGTCCAGCTGAGCCGCTTGGCCGCAGCTATGCAGCACGGAGGTGCAGTGCACCACGTTCAACTCGAGGCTGCTGCTCCTGCCAAACCGCTGGCTTCTCCGCCCCAGCGCCGAGCCCCCCTCCAAACCGCATTGAGGAAATATCCGGTGGCAGCAAGGTGCACATGTTTTCGGGGGGGGCTCAACCCCACAGAAGCCGCCGTCCGCCCCCCTTTTTGTGAGGTCAAAATGTTCACCCTTTTGTTGGATTTCCACATGGCTTATCCGGGCGGCCTGCTGACCAGATAGTCTATAAACGGCACTTAAGAAGCAAATGGCGTGGGGAATTGCACTGCGTGATCCCAAAATCGTAAAATTCCCTTCTCACCCTTTTCTTTGCGAGGTCAAAATCTTAAAATTCCCTTTTCCCAAGCACTTGCCCCTTCCTGGCCCTCCGCAGCAGCTCCCCAGCCCGCGCCCAGGCGCCGTCTGCTTGGCAAACGCCCAGCGCCGCTCCCAGAGTCACGGCGCTCCAGGCGACGCGGTCCAGCGCCATATGCCGCAGCACCGCCGCAGCCAAGGCCCAAGAGCCGCCTGGGACCCCCACGCCTGCGGCGGGTCCGTCCAAGGTGCGGTGAGCCGGGAGGGTTCCGTGAGGTGCCGCTTGTTTTGGTGGAGAACTGGGAACCCCAACAACCGAATCAAGGGTTCATGCCGGTTTCATGTGCTTTGGGGGTTGGAACATGACCTACAAGTGAGCTTCGCATTCCAAGCCTGGCCCCGAACATTTGTGGCCGCCCGCATCGGACACGGCGCCCAAGACCGCGTTGAAGGCACCTGTCTCCAAGGTGCCACCCACCTGCCGTGCCTCGGAAAGCAAAAGGAAGCCTTTTGGAGTGCACTGAGTTGTTGGCAACTGTCATGTGCTTTCTCGTTTCAAGGTACGGGTCCAAGGCTGACGAGTTCAGGGTGTGTCCAATGTTGCTTAACCCTTGAAAACGAAGAAGCAACTCTTGGGGCCAGTTTGTGAGAGAATGCAAAAAGATAGTCATACGACAACAGCTCTGTTAGCCGCCGCTCCAATCATACACTACCTGTCCATTGCAGAGCAAAAAGCAATTGTCCTGAAGAGATCGCACATAACGCTCGAATTTCGCTGCGGCGAGCTCTGCTCTATCAGTTCCAGCTGCTCCGCTCCACATTCATGTACCCAGAGGTGTGTTTGCATGTGCCTACTCACATATGACTCACATGTCTTGCCAGCCTCTGACCCGGGAAACCTCTTCAGTGCCTTCCAACATCCACACCAAGCCCTCCCCCCCAAAGCGGCCTGGGCCCTCTGCTCGTTGTAGAGCCGCAGCGCCTCCGCCCAGTTCCGCTTCCCGAGCCGCGCCAGGCGCTGCGACAGCGGAGCCTCCGAAACCGCCGGCCGCATCGCGCCATCGGATCCAAAGACAAAGATGGCCGGCCGAGAGAGGCGCCGACACCACGGAAGGGACACATCCCCAATTTGGATCCAAGCTCAACTGCGGAAGGGGCCGCAAAGAACAAGGCGGATGGGTATACGGTATGTGTGTGTGTGTGTGCGAGCTGGAGCATGTGAGTCTGTGAGCCCCTCGTGTTCTCTCATTTGGGCGCGTCTCTCAAAGCTTCCCCGTGTTGCACCTAAGTATGGCCGATGGAGGACAAGAGCCACGTCGCAACGGCCAAGTTGGATAGTTGGTAGCTGGCTGCAACTTGTAAGCCACTGAGTACTCCAACCCTAGCCAGCCATGCCCCCTAATGCTGACCAAATGTCAATAAGTTGACCAAGCCCATAATCAACCCGTCAAATCCCCACCTGCAATCAGCCTCAAGCCAACCAAAGTCCCAATGATAGCCTCAGCTCTGTGCGGCTTTTGCCCTAGTGGCAGCTCGAAACACTAGTGAAACTGCCACATCCGCCCCATTTCGGGCGGATGGGAAGCTCAGGGCAATGCTCTGGGCGCGTCTCTGGGCAGCATTGGCCTCTCCAGGCTTGGCTTTACACGACCACACCCACCCAGAAAGGCTGTTCCAAATGGAGGCTTGGGCGGCTTGGCCAATCTCAAAGAGAACTCGGACTTCCTAAGGGAAAGATAGAGGCGTGTTGACGAGCCAGTCACACATAACAGGTTGAAAGTAGATGTCACAACTCCCCTTCCTGTCAAGGGTGGATCGGTGGATTCCTTTCGAGCATTTAAAGATCACCTAATCGAAAGCGAATCAACTGCTTTGGGTGAAAGGTTCAATTGCACAATTCCATCCTGTGACTAACAATGGATAAAAAAGGGAGAACCAAAAGGTCAGAAGGTCCCTTTGCTGGATTTCCACCTATAAAGGGACTCCCTACAAGGGAACCCAAAGATAACAAACCGTCCATTTTTTGGGTCCTTCGCCCAGCCCAAACAAAGTCGGAGCATCGCGCCTCAGCTAAGTGCCTCCACCTGGTACCTAACAGGGGTGATCCGGTCACCGTCTAAAAATAAAAACTGCCCCTTGTTTGGGCCACTCGTCTGAACCATGACTTGCTGATTTATCCCAACAAAGTTAACAACGACTCTTTGGTTTCAGCCAGGGATAAGCAACATGATTAGAGTTGGGCCCAGTGAAAAAGAATGTATTTTTTATTGTTTGCTTCACATGGAGTCACTGGTAAAATGAAAAAAGTGTCCTAAGTCTATGCATGCAGTTTAACCACACGTTCCCCACCTGGGAGTCTCCCGGATGGTTGGCGCTTGCCTCGGGATTCCGTCGATTTCGTTTTCGACTCGCCCTTTTCTTTCCGAGTTTTTGTATTAACCCGAATACACCCACTGGATATCAAGCACATTTCCGGATAAAACCGTGTCATTGTTTGAACCATTCACGGTCAGAATCGTGGCCCGGGAAATCCGTGAAAAATTATTCGAGGCTCTCGTTCAAAATGGGAGGAACCCCCCCCAACAACAACAAAAACATGTGGGCCCCCTACGGACTTTCGCATAAGGACCACAAAGGGATCCTTCAAAACCATCCCGAAATGGTTCTTCTATGAGGGAAACAGCCGCTTCTGCCAATTATCGAGGTGCCCCTCCCTCCTCGCCAACGCGCCCGAAATGAATTACTTTCCATCCGTCTCGCTCAGACTCTTGGGGCCGCGACGAGCGAACAGAAATCGGCAAGGCCGTGCACTCGTCCGGACGGGTGGTAATATACGTCCTCTCCTGCCTCAGAATTCAAACGGCACACGCGCTACATCAGCTTCTCTGTACTTAAGTGGATAATGCTGCAAGGAAACTGAACGCCCCTGCTCTTAATCCCCCTACTGATGGTTGTTTACACACACACACACACGTGTTCGCTGTTTCAGGCAAGTGGCCGTGCGTCACTCGCACAATGCACCGAAAAAATAGCCTATACTAATCCCATACTCCCAATGAAGCATATACACAGGGGACTAAATCCTTGCGTAGCCCAAGTTCAGGATCTTGCGGATTACATTTGAACAGCCCCTTTCATAATCCCTATTGGCTACAGGAACTTCACAGCGCACCAACTCCTTGCGGAGCCCAAGGTCAGGGTAAAGATTAAGATGGATCTTGCGGAATAAGTTTGAACAGCCCAGCCAGGCCGCCCTTTCCGAAAGGTCGACAACTTCAGCCCCAGGCAGCACCTCCTTAGCCACAACCTGCGGGGGGCGCGCCAAGGCGCGCCAAGGCGTCGGGGCGGTTCTCCCTTCTTGCGCAGGGGCCCACCTAAGGCCCTTCCTTAGGCCCTACCTGGGAAGGGTTCGGAAGCAACCGCATGACATCTTGTGAAAGTTCGAATCGAAGCTTGGGCATTTTTGAGGCCTCGCTCTGAGCCCGGGGCAGGGGAGGAGGCTGTTATGCGCTCCTTGTCCTCTCCCGCGGCTGCTGAGCACACCTGTGCCAGACCGCTGGGGCGATCTACATGCAGAGAAAGCAAAACCCGGCGAGTCGCAACACAGATTCGATGGGCAGGGAATGAGTTGGAATCACCCCTAGAAACCTTCACTTGTGGTTGCCTTTATTCGGGAATCCCCAAAACAGGTTCATTCCCAACCCCCCGAACAAAGGTCATTCCCTATCGCCCCAGCAAAGCTTTGCTTCGTACCCAGATCTCAGAATCCAAGTCAACCCGGAGCTCCCTGCCTCGGAGCAGCCCGGCACCTGCGGACACTGCAGCCGAAGGCTCGGGGGCTCATTTGGAGCCATGGGCTCACCGACTCACAGCCAAGCCAAACTTGAAACTCTCGGCGTCTCAGGGAATGACCCCTATACACCATGATCTTTGGCTTCCTTTGAGGGAATCCCTCAGTTCATTGCCCTAAGCACCGGCTAAACCCAAGGAATGGTAGGCTCACGGAATGCCGAGTCTTGAGCGAAAGCGCTGAGGAGCCCGCGATCTGGCCCATGGCGCCAGGCTCATGCCCCCATCAAGGGCTGGCAGGGCTGGAGGGCTATGGGTGCAGACTTGGTTGAGAGGCTTGGAGGGGTAAAAGGCTTGGGACAAACATGTGACATGGGTTCGCTTTTGTCTGCCGGCTGGTGGAAACGTTGGTTGAAAGGGTCAAGCTCCAACCTTCGAAGGGTCAAAGGGTAAAAGGCTTGGGGAAACGTGGCTTCGCTTTTAAGCTTGTCGGCTGGTGGAAACCTTCTTGGGCCACAGTGCAGGTGCTGACATGGGCAGAAGTGGGCAGTGGACAAGAGGCTCTGCCCGGCAAAAAGCTTTTTAGCGAAAACGCCGCGTTGCTTGGCAGCTTCGGCTCTACCTAACACACGGCAACTACTCAGCGCATACAGTTGTAAAGTTGATTCCATTGGGGTGAAACGCTCAATGCTCAGCTCTGCCGAGAAGCACCTGCCTGCTGCTGCGGCTACGACTTTGGCACCCGCAGAGCTTAAGGTAAAAATAAAGGAGCAACTTCAAGTGGTTCCTCACAGATTTGGAAGCGTCACCCCACAAGGAGGCCAATGGCGAAACAACAAGCACCACGTAAAGGTTCAATTTAAGAAGAGGAAAACAAGAGGCCACACAGGAAGTGGATTGACAGCGACGCCCAAAGCTGGTGTGGAAACCCATGTGGCTGTGGGTCAAGGCCAATGGTACCATTTTGGGGGAAGTGCACCACCCATTTTAGAACCTATTCTAGTGGGGATTGGGATGTTCACTGGGAACCGGGCTTTTGACCCATGGCCATGTCCCGTAAAAAACCGAGGAGTACAGGCCCCGACATCAAGCTCCAGACGTTCCGACCAGGGGAGCTTCTGCATCGTCGCTCGCGTAATGGAACTCCTCCTGAAACTTCTCAGAGGGTGGGGCCATTTCTGGACGCATATGCTTTTAAGAGGGGGCACTCATGTTTAAGAGGGCGCTTCCATCCTTCTTTTAAGGGTCCCTCATTTTTGGGGTGCCTGATTTTTTGGGTCCCTCATTTTTTGGGGTGCCTGGTTTTTGGGTTGGCTAGGAACTAGAAGCGGAAAACCCGCTTGTTTGTTTGCTTCATCCTTTCTTTTTGAGGCTACCTGTTTTGCTTTTATTATTCTTCTTATTCTTATTATTTGGAAAGAAAGGGCAAACCAGCATTTGGGTGGAGGCATCCTTGAAACCAAAAGACCACCCCCCATTTCGACACCCACACCCACCTCCTCGTTATCTCCGAAGGAAAGGCCGCGGCTGAGCCGAGCCAAAAGGCCCAGCAGGGCCAGCATGCTGAGGCACCCGGCACCGAAGGCCAACATGATCTCCCCATGTGCGGACAGATCGTTGGATCTCTGGTGCCTTCAGGAGAGGGGAGAGATATACAAATATATGTACTTATTTTTTGTTGCAAAAAAAAAAAAAGCTGCTGCCCAAAGCCCCCCCCCCCGGAAGGAATCCCAAGGAACCTCAAAAACACGAAGGTCTCTTTTGTTCTTTGTTGATTATGTTCTGAGTATGCTGTTCAGCCAAGATGAAACATCTTTCCCCCCCCCCCCAAAAAAAAAAACACAAGAAGAAAAAGAAAGAGGAACCCCAAAGAATGTGTCACCTCCGATCAAAAATGGATTGGATCCAAAACAAAGTCGCCAGGAACTTGTTATTTCACACATTTGCCACTAAAATGGAACTCAGGAAGTGAGTGTCTGCTTGTCGTTGTTGAACTGAGTTCATCATGCTTTCCCGCAAAGACGTAACGTCTTTATCAAACAACGTCTAAATCTGGATGGACAAAATCATCTTCGCACCAGCTGAGATGGATGAAAACCCTGCGAAGACTGTTTGGCGAACCACCTGCCGACTGGTGAGCAGTTTGTTCATGCACAGAGGGATTGAATTTGGTTTATCTGATCATCATTTAGGCAAGGGCAAACATGTAACAGCTTTACCAAACCTTGTCCCAGGTGCAGTTTCTCATACCTTTGCAGCAGGTCCCAGTGGTGAACCTGGTGCACTTGCTGCACCCGCTCGCCGGAGGAGTCATAGCGGTGAATCAGGTGCGGGTATTCGTGAGGATCCAAGTTGTACTGACTGTACTGACCATAATCCTTGGCCAAACCAAAGAACACCGTGCGAGGTGGATGCGCCAAAGTTGGCAGAAGAGACTCCAAGAGCTCAACCGAAGGCATCAGCCTTGTCTAAAGAGGCTTTAGCGTCAAAAAAGAAACTCCCAAGCAAGGGCCCAGGGCCTTTCAACCTATGGCAAAACGTATCGCCGTGGCTCTAGGGAGGAGGACATGGCCACCATGTGGCGCACTCGCTTCCGCATGCCTCCCACACCGCAGCTCATAGAGCAGGAGCCCCAAGCCTCCCAAGAAGCCCAGGAGCAGGTGGTCTGCGCGTTGCACATGTGCGGGCACTCCCGGACCTCCTTCAAACTCGCCGGGGGGCACTCCCTTCCTGAAGCGAAGCCAACGCGTGTTCAACGCGGAGACGAAACAATTGCGGCCCGACGAAAGGCAAAAGCCAGGTGCTTCTCAAAGGCAAAAAGAAAGAGAGAAACAGCCGCGACCGCTTTCCGTGACCTGTCAACTCAACTCCAAGCCGAGGCGCCGCCGTACTGCGGATACACCAGGATCTTCCTCATGCGCGTGCGCTCGCCCCCGCAGGCGTCGCACTGACCCCAGCTGTACCACTCCCCCAGGACGCAGTCCACCGCCTCGTGTGCCGTTCCGCAGGGCGCCCGGGCGCACTCCAAGGCCTCCTGCAGCGGCTCCTGGCACCTGTAAAGCTTCCAAAGAATGACCATGGCCTAGCTTTTCCCACGTGGCGATTTAGTCAAATCGCTTTTTTGGTGGTCTCCCTGGTCATCCTATCTATTTAAAGCCTTTTGATCAACCCCCATGTCAATTTTGCCCCAACGGCTGAAAGCTATGGATTTCGTCTCTGAGATGACTCTCTACGTTTGGGGGTTGCTCCTTTGGGAGGGCGACAAAGCTGAATGACACGGATTTGGGCTCTGCCAAGATGACTCTTGGGCTGCTTCCAGGACTGTTGGGGATACAACCTGGACGAATTTCGTGCTCCTCTAGTTGCCCTGTGTAGACGCACCCAAATCTTCATGGAATGCACCGGGGGAATCTCGCAGGGGGAGGGGGGATAAGGTGATTTGCAATCCCAAAGCCCACATTTACAAAAGGCTCTTCCACAAAAATAAAAAGGCGGACATAACTGGCTGGAGCTCTCTCCCCATTTGAGAGGAGGAAAAAAAACGCGTCTCGGCCTCCCCTTCGATCCAAGGCGCCCAAAGCCCCCGTTGTAGGCCTCCTGCGCCACGTGCCGCGCCCGGCTGCGCTCCCCGCCGCCGCAGCTGGCGGAGCAACTGGACCACGGGGCCCAGGTGCTCAGCAGGCAGTCCACCGGGGGCCCCGACACGCACTGCTCCTGGCGCAATCGGAGAGGCCGTGGGCGCGTCGTTGTGCCGGGGGTTGTGGATTCAGTAAAAAACTTGGAAAGGAGGGAGCGAACTCAGGGGTCCCCTATCTTGGTTGCTTTCTGCTCCCCTGCAGAAAAAGTGACTAACTTTTCGTGGTTTAATACGGAAAACCCATTTGTTAACTTAGTTAAAGTCCTAACATCCAAGCAAAATGCACCAAAGCAAGCAGGATCTAAGTACAACCCGTCCCATTATTGGGGGGGGTGTTCCCTCCAAAAGTGGTCTGAATCCAAACACTAAAAGGGGACGCCCCCCGATGAAAATCAACCAGGAGTTTACTTATCCGGGGTTAACATTAGCATCGTCCACGTGGGCGTCGTTCAGCCGGGGGCGCCCACGGTGGATACCGAGTCTCACCACAGAAGGGGCAACTGGACCAACTTGACTTCGGTTTTCGCCGCTTTCCGTGGTGATGTGGGTGGGTAAACGAAATCCAGCTGCTTCTCACACCACCGTTCCAAGAAACCCAACGGTTTCTGATTGGATTCCCGACCTAAATGCCAACAAACAATGGCTTCAACCATAACTTCGGTGGTGCGAAGGGATTTCGCGACCATCTGCAGTATGGCAAGTACGAGAACTGGCAAACCCTCGAACTGACCGCATGTTTTGTACTGGAATCCTGTTTCACACAAACGCTTGTGGTTGAACTCCTGGTTCACCAAACAACTAGACGGCATTTAGACGGCAAAAATCCTATGTCGGTCAGAAAAGGCATGATGACTAGCTCAAAATGGGTGATTGTTTGCTGTCTACTTTCAGCGATGTGTACTGTTAACGTCAGGTTTATACAGAGGAACCCTCTTTAAAAGGGCAACCACCCCTGGGCCTCTGGTTCGGGCGGCCCGGATTGATTCGAAGTTAACTTTATCACAAAGCTCTTGCTGGGGAATTTTGTTTGGGTGTCGCTCCTCTCAAAGCTTCATTCAATTTGTTCAGGCCAAGTATGGGTGACTGACATATAGCGGTACATCTGCTATGAATAAGCACCCCTTTCAACCCCGGCCGGGAGGATGGGTAACTGCCAAACTTGGAAGGACCCACTGGCCCATTATGGGCCGGAAAAAGAGATGGCAATCCCCTTGGGAAATCGAAAAGCCACGAAGGCGCATGTCAAGGTGCATTGGTTGGTGTGGCGCATGGTCATGACTCTCTTAACCCTGGAACGGGTGAAAGAAAATGTCTCAGGGGATCGCCGGAGCTTTGGTCGATGGATCTTTGTCCAATCCGCATCGATGCGCCGTTGGTCTCAATTTTTATGGAGCCCCTCAGAGAGAACGGCCAAAAAATGGCTAGAGGGGAAGGGAAACCCAAAGGGCCTCTCAAAAAAAACCGAGAACCGCATCCCCCCCCTCGGCTTCCCTCCTGCATACCCTGCTCCTTCGCGGGGTTGCAGTGGGTCACCTGTGCAAAGCTTTTTTTTTCCGCGTTTCCGCCGAAGGGAAACCCGCGTGCTGTTTCGCAAAACTTGTCTGATTTCCCTGCCAAGAGTATAACTCTTTTAGTGGCTTAGTGGAAACCCCCACTAAACCAACTAAAAGCCTAAAAA